TCTTGGATCTGCTTACTCGAGTCCTTGTACGCAATCAACCAGGCTTTTTTAATGCCATTCATAAGGTTCGTCGCATGTGTGATGAGCGAAGGGCTATCTTGTGGACGAAGAGAATCAAGAACTTCAAATCGTTTTGCCTTGAGATTAAGGCATAAGACATACCAATGCCCGTCCTTTGGTAGAGGTCCCAACTTTTGCAGTGTTGGAAACAGTAGCTGTTAAAAAAATGTGAACACATGAACACAAGAAGTTATCAATGCATTTACAGTTAAAAAGGCAAAGTTATCAGGACACTGACGACATATGTTACCAGTAGGCATAGATGAAAGTTACCACAGAAAAGTAACATAACTAGGTACCAGCTAAAATTCTTTAATGGTACGATGTCTGACAAAACCAAAATAAGAGCCTGATAAAATTGCCTGTTAGACCAACTAAAAAACAGCTTGTACGATTTAAAAGAAGAAAAGTATGTAGTTTACGTAAAAAATTGTACCAGATTTTGGTGACTAAGTATGTAGTTTGCATCACGACGGAAATGTTTGATTAGGAATTTGCTCGTCATATCATGTATGAGAAGATATACTGGCAACAACCATGGAAAAATGATCTTTCCTGAGGGTACAGAATCAGAAAGAGTTCGGATGTTGAGCTCTGCAATATTATTCGAAACTTGGCCACCTTCTATCACACTATTAGCGAGCTCCTCCAATGTGACCCATCGCCCATCGATGTCAATAACCCTAATACTGAAAAGCAAACAAAGAAAAAAAATAGTATATAAGCAAATGTTTTGCCGATGAGGGGTTAAAATACTAGAGAAAAGGAAAACAGTAAATGTCATTACTGTTTTATCTTGGAGTCAACTGAATCAGTGGTGTGCTTGATAACTTCTGCGTAAATAACCTCTTCAAGTGCAGATGCTGTGAGGCCACAATATGGAGGCAGAAGGAACTGCGATGGGCGGCTTACCCTAACTTTCCGAATGTAAGATTTAGGAGTCACACTGGCTGAATGATTACCATAGGGAGGTTGAATAACTGGTGTAGCAAATTCAGGGCTGGTGGGGTAGTCTAGAAGAAAAGTGAGGGGAGTTATCAGAGTTGGGAATGGTGGAAAGAAATATTATGAGGAAACAAAAAGAAAAGAAGTTATCAGAGTTTAGAACAGTAAATTATCAACATGGAGATAATGATGTTATCAAGGTTGGCAGTAGGAAAGAGTTTGTTAAATAAAATATTCCTATCAGTACCTTTTACAGAACTGTAATTTGCTTTTGCTCTAACAGTGGAACGTTCGACTTCTTCAACCCACATAATTACATCGTCGTCTTCAACATCCGCATCATAAACTCGAAATCGACGCTCTTCAAAAAGTTGCGATCAGGTCAGTTTGTGAACTGACAAAAGGAATGTCAAATATATGGAAAAACAGCTAAAGAATAAAGTGATAGATAGTACAGAATGATGATAGAATTACTGTAGAGAGAAAAAGGGAAGAAAATAAGGGGGGTCAGGATAGTTAAAGGGGCAGCATAAAATGTATTAGAATGGTTTGTCTGTGCATGCAGGGAAAGGAAGGGGAGGGGTGTATTTACAACATCAATAAAGGAAACAAAAATGGTTGGAGTTATCAGCATGGTGATAGCAGAAGTTATCAGGGTATGAACACAAAAGTTACCATCTTAGTAACTAGTTAGCAAAAAAAATAAGAACATGTAGGTATCTACTTAGAACAAAAAAATACTAGCACAAAATTCGCAAAAAGTAATCATGGTGAAAGTTCCCATACGATAAAAATGGTAAGCTGGAAAACAAGGTACAAATATCTTTCATGTAGGACGATGTATTTATCAGTTAAAAGTAGAGCGATACAATTATCAGTCATATGTTAGCATGGTGATAGCATAAGTTACCACACAAAAGGTTGAAGTTATCAACATGGTGATAGCAGAAGTTATCAGGGTATGATCACAAATGTTACCATTCAATTAACTAGTTAGCAAATAATTATCAGTCGGATGTTAGTAAAAGTTACCAGGAAAAATGAACAATAATTTATTTAAGGACAGTATAACTGAACCTAAACGGAGCTTTCTCGCGCGTCCACGCTTTTAGCCGTTCGATTTCGTGGCTGGATGCTTGCTGGCCGTATGATACTCCCCTCTCGCGCGTGGGCTTGCTCTTGGGCCAACTGTCTCGCGCTTGGGCCTTCTTGGACCAACTGTCCTCTGGGCAGCTTCTCCGGAGACCAAATCGAAGCCATATCGTTATCCTATATGATATACGTCCGATTCCGGATGGACGGTCGTCGATGTTCCCTCCCATTCTACCCTGACCTGGACTCTCGTTCAGTTCCCACCTTATCTCCATCTCCCTCACCCACAACACAGGTTGCGCCGCCGCCGTTGTCGCTTCCTTGGGCTTGTAGCTCCTCATGGCACAGTCTTCAACCACCTTGTAGGAACGTTGAATCCATCTCCGCCTAGCCGCCGCTGTCCTCGTTCTCCTGTCTTTCTTGTGGCGTCGGCGAGCTCCATCCCTAGATCGGTGGCGCACTACGCCCATCAAGAATTCTACGCCATATCTGAAGTCGTTGGCGCGGCACGACCAGATCGACCATGATCAAGCAGTTAGCCGGAGGGCGGAAGTTGGGGTTGTTTCAGTTGGGGGTATGTGTTCTGACCTCGTCAGCTTTGGTTAGCACATCAGATAAGGAACGCGGGTTTACCCCCACACTGGAGGTTTGTGCTGCTAATTATCTGCACTTGATGCTCTTATTTAAGATACTGGTCAGGTAATCATCCTGTATACTGTCATAACTTTGTAGATAAAATTAGGCCTTCCCAATACTAACAAAGTTGTTGATGGGTGAATAAATCATTACGATTAATCTTTAAGTATGGTTGTTATTGCGACTAGATTCTTCCCTGATCTTCGTGCAGCATGTCTCAGTAGCCCCATCGTCCGTTATTAGCTACAAACCGTTGTTTCCACTCAGGCAGATTAATGGATGCACGTGTCACGTGTGAAACCGATTGACATTCCAAGTGAAGTTGACAGTGAAGGGTATATGTTCTCCACATGCAAAATTACTACAGTGTGATGTTTGTTGCTCTCCTTATTTTTCTAATCATTATGCACTGTCTTTTGATGCGTCAAAATTACTAATATCCTATGTACACACTTCATTGTTGTGCTAGGAATAGGATGGATGTGGTGGTCCACTTGTTGATTTTGATGGGAACATTGTTTGGAAGAATGACACACATGATCAGAAAATTACTGGATGTGTACAAACAAATAAAATTCGTGGATATTTGAGGGATATTTGGTTATGGTATGTCATTTAGACTTGTCGAATTTAATCATACTTGTGCTGTATGAATTATGATGGGTTCACTGCATTCTACGGTGTGAATGAAATGCAAACTTTTCCATTACCTTTGGTGCCCCAGGTGGTTCTCATATGATCGTTTGGGGGATTCTTGGAGGATAGATATATCCATAATTGTGATATTACTATGATATTTGTATACCGCATGATTGTGGACAATGGTGCACCTGAAGATGCACATCCTGGTACAAGGTCGTCTAAGAAACTAGGGATGTCCATGGATATATCAGTCCTAATATGTCTTAGATTCAGCATTTGGCTCGGACATATGGAACACAAGACCACTCCAACTAAGTCCAGATGGTTTATAATTGGACTCCACCGATCATTACGCAACTCCGGTATTTCTGCCTTTTCATTCTGATCTCATTTGACAAGTTCTGAGGTGATTTTCTGCCATGGATAGTTTTACCATTTTTATAATATTTCTTTTGATAACTACATCTTCATACTCATATCTATTACTTGATTCCACAAACTATGAAGAAATAGATAATTTTATATGTGCGGGTGATTTCTTTCTGCCATGAATTACCAATTAACACTATGGATGAGTTGATTTGTGGTGTACTGTATTCTGTACAATTCAGTACTTTCCTGATGCAATCGAAATGCCTCAATTGAATGTAGAGAGGTCTCTGATGGCAGATTTAAATAGTCCAGATTCAGACCTAGACATGTGTGATTCCATGTAGTATATAATTTTGCACCCATGCATACAATGTCAAATCTGACCACGTTTTCATCCACACGTGCATGTTGATAATCCATAGCAGAAACAAAAATGGTATTAAAGATCGATTACATTTTTTTCTCCTTTGTGAACTTAGTGTATACTATTTCTTTGTATATGTTACTTCCAATAATCTCACGGGTCATGGCTACACCAAATAGAAATAACTCTCGTGCAGAGAAGATGTTTCAACTGATTAATCAACTACATAAAAATGTTGTGTCCTACCTAATTGATCTCTATATGCCTATATCTCCACAATACATAAGAAAACCTCCACCAAAGTCCCTTTATCTGATAAATTCAATTCTCTTCGCTCAATATGTTATTTAACTTGCAGGCCTTTCATTACTAACAAATATATATAGTTCTTGATAAAAATATCATGCAAATTTACTTTAATTAATAAAAATTGAACTTTCATGTTTCATGCTCCATATATTTATAGAAATACTCTTACCATTGTATTGTCAAAATAGACGGGCGCGGCAACGCGCGCCATCATGATCTAGTAATCACGTATAATACATCCACACACCAGGCAACATAAAAAGTAAAAGAGCGCAAATGTGAAACAAAAACACATAGTTCATTACATAGCACACATGCAAAAGCATAA